GATTTAGTCCAAATTTCTAAAAACCTCCTTATAAACAACATTGGTTGTTGAGTTTGTAGAACGTCCATCTTTATCACATATTAAGATCTTCAAACCTTCACGCTTTGTAACTCTAGAGACTCCAACATATAATTGTCCATGTGTAAAAACTGGGTTTTGCAAGAAAATTCCAACTCTAGAAAGCGATTGTCCTTGACTTTTATTAATAGTCATCGCATATGAAACAAAAAGTGGGAACTGCCTTCTCTTGAAGTTAAATGGTAGACTCAAATCAGATGGGGTTAATGTCATTCTTGGAATCAAGAATTTTTTCCCTTGATTAAAGCCATTCAAAATCGATGCTTCTATAACATGATCAGGAAGTCTTGTGACCATTAATCTTATACCATTGAAAAGACTGGATGAGTGATCAATATTTCTCATCAGCATAACAGTAACACCAACTATTAGCTTCAATTCATGATTGGGAACTCCTGAGCACTTAAGTCCATTTAAAAATTCTGGAGTATGTAGCTCACTAAGCAAATGATCATCAGAATCTGACTGACAAATTCCATCTGAACTAAGATAAGTGCGCACATCAGATTGATCTTTCGAAACCATGTAATCATTAATCATGTCAACCATAGAAAGCGTAGGTGCCAGTATTGCCCTTCCATCTAAATATGTTGCATCTCCAAATTGTGAAGTAAAATCGGGATATATACTATCTACTATAGATGCAACAGGGTCGGTTGAGCTGTTTATTAGAAGATCTTCAGGAATTTCAACAATTCCATGTCCTTCATTATCTTCACCAAGTATGCCATCCCCAAGACTTAAGATCCACTCAGCAAAAGTTTGCAATTCAATGCACAAATGGTCACCAGACTGATCTTGCAATCTCATGTTCTTTGTCAATTTCAAGACCTTAAAAAAGATTAGAAGTCATCAGAAGATGAAATTTGAGTTGAAACTCTGAAAACTCACAAAGAACATAATAATTTTAGAGATACACCTAACTGGTATATAAGGGAGTGTCCACCAAATTTAAGCTGAAAATTCAATCAGGAATTCAGTTAAATAAATTATCAAAAAGAATTGCGCTTTATATATATAAATAACACATTATTTTTCAATAATTTATTTAATTGACTTGAAGATTAAATTTTAAGCTTAAATTTGTTATACTATATTTATTTTATTCAATAACGCATTGATTTAAGCTTAAATTCAATCGGGAACAACCTAAACAGCAAATTCAGTACGAAAAGTCCGGTCAAGAGAGCATGACACAAACATGACTAGATTTCAATACAACCGAATACAACATTTCAAAAATAATGTAACATAACAAGTTAATGAAGCTATAAAAACGGTTAAAACACATTCACAATTTTTGAATGTGTAAAATTAATTATGAAAAAAAGAATTGATTATCAATAGGGTGGATTTAACTTTAATATTAGCTGACCACAATATGTCGACTTTGCAAATCGATTTGGAACGGAGTGAGTATTTTACTTGGCACTACAGCTCCGAGTTTCACCATCATCACGGGTGAAACAATGTTTATTATGACTTTCAAAGTTTTGTTAAATCTTATGCTAGCGGTAGAATGTGCTCTACCAAAAGTCTTTTGTGTAACACAATGATGACCGTTTTGTCCAGCAATAAGTAAAAATGTCACAAGTGTTTCTTCCACACAAATGTAACGTGTATGCTGAAGTGGTATTTTTTCCACAATGATGCTACACAGTTGTAGTTTTAATATTGTATTTGTGTAATTAAATTTAGTATTGCTGATGGTTTTGCTAATATAATCCTCAATATACACCCCCTCATGCTTTAACGAATAATAAGTCATTGAGCATGCATGCGCTAATACAACTAACTCCAAGATCTCATTAAATTCTACACTATGTGTTTGCCTCATTCATCTCCCATTTTGTCAAACCTATACAAACATTCTTATGTCGTAATCGTAATTTAGCACTCCAGGTTTGAAAATATAATTACAGATGGGCTATCATAACAATAAATATGATAAGTAATTAAACACAAGACAACATGATATAACTATTGAATAAAGAAAAAAAAAGAAATAAAAATTTAGCTAGGAATATCAGTTGAACAACAAAAGCGTTCGGCAGGAAAGGTTCAACAACAACTAAAAGTTTCATGAAAAGTAAAGTTTAGAAAGCTTCCTAAATAAAGCATAGTCTCTTTTGATGTTATAGTTTACCCATTCTTGATTCTCTTGAGGTGACATTTTAAGAAAGGCTTCTTTTATTTCAAACTTATATATGAGCACAAGGGCCTTGTAACGCTTGCTGTCATCTAAGTTTGGAGTCTCTCTCCAACATTTAAAATTCCATATGTTGTTATTGCTCTTTGATTCTCTTTTCTCCCTTTCATATTTCTCCTCTCTTTTACTCTCTTCTCTCCTCCATCTATTTTCTCATTTCTTGAATGTCGTTACTAATGTCACCAATATAATTCATCCCACTAGCAACCTTCATTTGAAATTCAGCTCGAGACACACCATCTTTTGGATTAATAGATATCCCTTCACATTGATCTATGTTCACCCTTTTGAACAACTATTTATCGAGGGAGCTTCACTTCTAGTTCCAAATGTAGGAGATAAAGTGAAATTGTGTATTGAATCTTGTTGGATTGAGATGTATGCCTCTTGAGATTAATCACACACACATAATCTTCTATTGAACTGCAAGTATCCTTTTCAATACCATATTCTAGCGTCTAACTCCTAACCTAATTCAATTGAAGATTTTTCCTATAATTAATGCACTCCCAAATACTATTCATAAATCTTCATAGTCGAGAATCAAAGGTATCAACATGAAGATTCCTATGAGTAGGATGAGGCTACAAAAGAGAATAACACACATATATTTTTGGTGAATTGAAATATTCAATTATCTGGAAGATACGTCTATCAAAATCATTCAAGATCCAAGGTGAGGATGTTTGGCTTTTAATAGGTCTATCGATCAAAATCCAAGTTGAGGACAGGGCTGGTCATGATCCGAGACAGAATGAGAATTTGATTATACTGGTACTAAACCCGATTTGAAATGTAACATTTTGGAACGGGACGAGACAAGACATTATCCTTTTGTTAGGAGAAATCCATTTAATCTGGTACTAGGAGAAATCGATATAATTCGGGACATCCCAAAAAAGTGCAACGAAAAAATTGCAACACAAAAATAAAGCAAGGAAATTTGAAAAAAAAACACTAATCTATATATAATACATTTGAAGGTTACAATTAAAGAAAGCATTGACATGTCAACTCCTCATATATAAATTTTATACTCTTATGAAAATATTTTGAATAAGTAACATTTTGATATCTTTCATATTCAAAATAATTTCGTACTAAAAAATATAATTGGTCAAAATTGATTGTCATTAACTGAGAAAACTCAATTTGGTGAACCTTTTCGAGACGGAGGAAGTGGATGTTTGTTAATGTGTTATTTTTTTCTTTCTATATTCAATATTGGGAAGTGGATGTTTGTTAATGTGTTATTTTTTTCTTTCTATATTCAATATTGGTGTCATTTGAAAGATTATAAAAAGTTATGAACTTTGATACCCCCTCCGGTTCTTAAACAACTTCTCACTTTCTTTTTCGGGAAGTCCCGAAATTAACTTCATACTTCTTCCCATTTCCTTATTTGGCAAATTATCTACACCAAAACAGTGCAAAACAGTGTCTAAACAGTGCCAAACAGTGCACTCCACAGTAAAGTCAAATTTATTTTCTTAATCTGTGTGAAGTCAAAGTGTGAAGAGGTCTTTGAGAACCGGAGGGAGTATATTTTTGTAGTAATCTGAGTAAAAATAAAAAGTTACGTAGTATAACACTTTAAAACAAATACTCCCTCCATCCCGAAATTAACTTCTCACTTTCCTTTTCGAGCAGTCCCAAAATTAATTTTCCACTTCTTCCCACTTCCTTATTTGGCTAATTATCTACATCAAAACAGTGCCAAACAGTATCGAAACAGTGTCAAAACAGTGTCAAAACAGTAAAATTTACCCCCACTAAATTGATTTACTTAATATGTGTGAAATGGAAGTGAGAAGGTAATTGGGGAATTATGAGATTTTATTTTGACGAGTCTCTATTTAGTTGAGTAGTACTGGTATTTGACTACCATTATTACCGTTATCAATTGAATCCCACATGAAATACTGAGTTTTACTTGTGCTAACCTAGTTACTTTAGATTGGAAATTGATGTTAAAATGAATACTTCCTCTGTCCAATTTGATAGTCTCATTTCTTTTGGGCACAAGTTTTACTAAAGTGGTTGAAAAGGTAAAAGTTATGGTTGAAATTTGAGTATAATAAAGTGAAATAATATGGACCACATCTTTCTTTCCAAAAAAGGAAACATGACCATAATTTTGGGATATCCCAAAAAAGAAATACAAGACTATCATTTTGGGACGGAGGGAGTAATACTTATTAATTGTATAGTTGACATGTGACAATTTTTTTCAACTGTAACCTTGAAATGTACTTCGTATTACGGAGTATATCCTGCCAACGCATAGTACGTTTTTGAAGTGGGAATCGTGAATCAGACGACAACAAAATATGCCTAATCAAACTTGGGGTACACACTTTGTGTACACACTCTTACACACTTATGTTTGTGAAACGTTTTTTTTGTCTATTCTAGACAAAATATATTTGTCAAATACGTTTTGTCTAGAACAAAAAAACGCTTTCACGACATACTTCCTCCGTTCCTATTAAAACTTCCAACATTCCTTTTTCGTCCGTTCCAATTAAAACTTCCACTTTCCCTTTTTAGTAAAGAATTTGTGGTTCACAACATTTCTTACACATTTCTCTCTCTTCTGCACAAGTGCACAACTCTACACCACACAATACCCACTATCTTAAATTGTGTGACAAATCTATTTGGAAGATAAAATAGTAAGGGAGGGAGTATTACGTAAGAATAGTATAAGATGCTCCGTATTTTTTCACTTCAATAATAAATGCGACGACTATTGTACGCCAATTTCAGCTAGTCTCCAATTTCCCACTGCTGTAGGCCAAACTGCTTAACGGCCGCGGCCTGCCATTTCAGACGCGCTTACCATTCAAAACAGCGACTTCCGGCGGCTTGAATGCTGGACTGAGGTGGCTAAAACGAGCTCCTCTCCACCAACGGGTCGGGAGATGGCCTATGCCTCTCCGAGCTCTCATGACCTCAGCGCCGGAGCTGCCTACTCTTCTCCTCCTCCTCCCTCTCTGTCTTGGTCTTCCTCCTCCGCCGCCATGCGGATTGCCCGCCCTGTTAAGGTCATTCCTCTGCAGCACCCGCCTACCACGGCGTCGTCCGCGCCGTCGGTCACGGGCTCTGTGTTGTCGAGGTGGATCGAGAAGGTAAAACGGATGACGTGGACGGAGTGGATTGAGATATCCTTACCTTGCTATCGCTGGATTCGCAAGTACGATTGGAGACAGGACTTGCAACCTGATCTCGTTGCAGGCGTCACCGTTGGGATCATGCTCGTCCCTCAGGTCTCTTTCTACACATACTTTGTTCCAGCTGCGTATAATTGAACTAAATGAATACAGAACACTGGGGACTTTTGTATGTGACATCTTATCGCAAGAATGAATATATTTCATTGATGCTCTGTATATTTCATTTGATAACTGGTAAAGCGGTTCAGTCTGGCTATTGCTGCCACTGTGATGGGGTGTGAATTATTTTTACGTTTGAATGAAATAACTAAAAAATTAATTTAGGGTTGCGTCTCGTTGCAGCCTTATGCGGCTCGAATGTGTTACGTTGCGGTTTTGGACTTGAATTAAAAAAAACACCACAATTGTGGGGTGATGCGGCTATGCCACGGGACGCAGTTGCAATATTGCAGCCGCAACACGTGTTGTGGCCCGCAATTTAATACCATTGTTTTAACTAAGAAAATAAGCGTATGAGTTCATTCCTCTGTCTTAAAGCAAGTTTGAGTTATGAATTTATGATCTTTGATCAATGAAGCTTGTATGGAGCATTAGATTTGGTGTAAGACAAAAGTTGGAGCCTCCATACAATTATTGTTACCTTATCATGAGTGTCTAGTTTTATGCGTATTTGTGCTTCGTTTTCTTCACTGTTATCCTTAAATTTATAGTTTTATATATCATGCACTGTCATAACTTATAATAGTATGCTTTTAAAGCAATCTGTATCATTTCGATTGTCCATTGATCAAAATATCGAATCACCTTTGACTTCATTTAAATTGAATTTCTAATCATGCTGTTATCTGAACAGTCAATGTCATATGCAAAGCTTGCTGGACTTCAACCAATATATGGACTTTGTAAGTAGCTACAAATTTTTGCTTAATTGCTGTTTCAAAAAGAGGGAAGTTTATTTTTGACGGGTTTTAACTTGAAAAATCTGAAAATGTTTAAGGATAGTGTATTGGTTCTCGCTGAAACTCTATTAAGTTTACGTGACCTTGCTTCATTTGATTATTATCATAGAAGTTTTCCCATTACTCTATTTGCCCACATATAATAATTTGAACCTTTTGAATTATTTAACATTTCTTTCTGCACTTGTCTATCTTTATTTTGCCATTAGTCATGTAGGAAGATGTTCTAGCTACACTAAACAATCGTGAATTTTGAAGTTTATAAATGGGAAAGGAATTTAGAGTTGTTGAATAAGTGCCACATTATTTAAAAAGACCTAATTGACTGGTATCCCTTAAAACAATTTGTGTTCATAACTGCGCTCTTTTGTTTCTGGATTTTGCAAGTCAGATTCTGGTTTTATCCCCATATTTGTTTATGCCATTTTTGGGTCATCTCGCCAACTTGCTATCGGTCCAGTTGCATTGACATCCCTGCTGGTCTCAAATGTCTTGAGTGGCATAGTAGACCCATCAGACAAGTTATACACGGAGCTTGCTATACTTTTAGCCCTCCTGGTTGGCATTTTAGAATGCATTATGGGGATCTTAAGGTATTTTGCTTGACGGTCAATACTCAGTTCTAATTCAAATAGTTAAATTGTTTAAACCTTAAACTCCAAGGCAGCAGGCCTGCTTATTGTATGGTTATTTGGTCTTCATTGGTGCTGGTCTTCACGGGTGCCATAAGAAGTCATTATTTAAACTAGTAATTTCGTATTTGATTCTAATTTATCAATTACCACAATTTTTGTGATTGGGCTTACTCGTGCCACACTTTATAGGGTTGTCAAATAAAAGTGCGCATGCAAATATAACTACTTTCTGAAGGTCGAGAATTTAGCTATAAGTTGATAAGTGGCTCATCAAATGTCTACATTGCAATAATAGCTTGTGTGGTGATGGATGTTCAATTTTCCACATCTTTTTAGCTGTTCGAAACATCATTAGCTCACTTGATATCTAGATATCTTCAGTTTCTTGTGCAACTGTAATTTCTTTATAATGGTTGCTCATATTTTTAACTTATTTTCTGCACTAATTCAGGCTTGGATGGCTCCTTCGTTTCATCAGTCACTCTGTAATTTCTGGTTTTACTACTGCGTCTGCTGTTGTTATAGCTTTGTCCCAAGCAAAGTATTTCCTAGGCTATGATATAGAACGTAGCAGCAAAATTATTCCACTTATCAAGAGTATAATATCTGGAGCAGATAAGGTATGTCTACTTTCTAAAACATTCCATGTGTAGGATACCGATTACTGTGTTCTTGTACTTCACTCCTAATGGAACTAATGTTGGCTGATATTATGTGTAAAATAAAAAGTTTACACTTCTTGCCTTAGAATTGCTTTCCCATGGATCTAATTGAAGGGAAAGCACCAAAGATCCACTAAGAGAAAAGCTAAAACTCTAAGCTTCATATATTGACATAGTTGGATAAGGTGATGCTCAAGGCTAGGAGTTCGAATGTCACCTCCTCAATGATGTAACGACAAAAAAGTTTTTCTTAAACTCACCACTCCCTCTAGTACAAGACCTGGGGTGGTTATTAATGTCCATACATCATGGTGCATTGTCATATGTTATTTTGTGCTTAATGTACTGCGAAAAGAAGTGCTTCTAGTTATGTACTAACTATATTTTATTTCTACAGTTTTCCTGGCCACCTTTTGTTATGGGCTCACTTACACTAGCTGTTCTGCTTAGCATGAAGCACTTGGTATGGCTCTGACCTTTTTTATTTACTCCCTCTTCCCAAACTTTTCTTCCAGTTTGACTTTGCACACTTGATAAAAAATTGAAGTTGTACGGTTAGGTGAAAATATTAGAATCAATATCAACCACACAAAACTTTCCTAAAGAGAAAAATTTCGGAAATCCCAAAAGGAAAGTTGAAACATAAATGTGGGACAGAGGGATTGTTTATTTCTGTCTTGTCAGTTTATCTTTATATTTTCTGCTAGCTGCTTATTTTCATTCCATTGGTCTGTAGGGGAAATCAAGAAAGTACTTGCGGTTTCTACGAGCTGCTGGTCCTCTTACAGCTGTTGTTCTGGGTACAATCTTTGTCAAAATATTTCATCCGACTTCAATTTCATTGGTGAGAATATACTTAAATTAAATAACCTTATTATTCATTTAAAAAAGAAAAGGAAAAATGAAAAGAATATTAACTGTAACCTGCATTGGATCTGAACAAAAGCTAGTGGATGTTCACAATTAACATTCCCTCTGCCCCTTTTTAATTTGCCCTGTTTAGTTTTGCATGCAGTTTAAAAAAAATAAAATTGTGGTTGAGATTTATTAGAATGGAAGTAATGAATATCAACTGCATAATTATTTCCATAAAAGGAAAGAGGAAGATTAAAAGGGACAGAAGCGGTATTTTGTAGAGTGAAGTTGAAGTTTTTATTACTTTAAATGTTGGAGTATTGGACTGCATATGCCTTACCAACGTCCAATGCTTCTTGGATGGGGACAAAAGCTAAAGTGGTAGAGAGGGATTTACAAACCCATTTTTTCTTCACTTACTAGGGCTTGGTTGGTAACATGTGAAGTAGCCAACTGTCGAAGACTTGCAATGAGATTATAATGTTTTTCAAGATTTTGCATTTCATCAATCGCTGTGGTTTATTTGTTGACTGTAAGAATTTTAACTTTAAATCTGAAAAAATCAGTTATCCCTCATTTATTACTTCAAATGTTTTGTTCCTTGTTTTAGGTAGGTGCAATACCACAGGGGCTGCCACAATTTTCTGTTCCCAAGGAATTTGAGAATATAAAGATTCTGATTTCCACGACAATTCTTATTACTGGTGTTGCTATCTTAGTAAGTAAGATATAAGCATGTACTTACACGTACAACCTCTCTTCTTTTGAGAAGCAAATTCTGTTAGATATACATTTTTGAATTTGTAGGAGTCTGTAGGCATTGCCAAAGCTCTGGCTGCAAAGAATGGATATGATTTGGATTCAAATCAAGAGGTGTGTTTTCATGGAAGAAAAGTTTCATGGCTTATTTTTGTCATCTATTATATATATTTATTATAGATAAGAGATATGATCGCCTTATCAGACACATAAATATTTCACCCTTCCAATTTATGTCGTCATGCTTATAAGTCTTTGACTCGTTTACGACTTGATTGTTTAGTATTTAGGACATGCTGCACTTTTAGCTAACTAACCTATAACTATACAACTGTTCAAACTCCGCCATGAGGCCACTATGTGATTACATGAGTCTCAAAGCAGGATGAAGGAGGAGGGTGCTATGTTAGGTTGGTGATGACCAGCCTTATAGCATAGTCACATCTCATGACATGAATAGAAATATGAATATTGCTACAGCTAGACCGTCAGGAAGCGGCGCGTCATCCCTACGCCTTGGGTGGTGTCAAATATGCAAGAGTGCACTATACTTCATAAGTTTATGTGAGGTGATAAGTATGCTAAGTTGTCATCCATAAGTGACACGCCACCTCAATGCTCGCAGGTTGAGAAACTTGTGAACTCATCAATCCTGATAGTGAAAAATCTGGTGATTGCGAGTTGAGGATTTCTACTTGCAACAATTTTTTTGAATGGTAATGCGAAGAGCTATGAGAAGAGCGATGCGAATAGATATGCGAAGACCTCGATGACTCTGGTTTTGCTGTCTTCCCTGTCTTCTGCCGGTGTCTAGGTGGAAAATCCCTAATCAAATCTTCCTTTAAAGCCTCCCAACTATCTTCTCTCTTGTGAAAGTCCCACCATTGAAACCAGCCATCTGCTGCATCCCCCATTGCCTTTGCTGCCATGTCCACTTTAAATCTTTCTGCAATAGCTTGGATTCGGAAATATCTTTCCATCCTTTCTATCCATTTGTACGCTTCATCCTCGTAAAATAGAGGTAATTTCTCCATTTTTGAATTAGCTGAGTTCCGAGAAACTGCTTTAGAAGAAGATAACAAACTGTGAGAATCATTTGGTGAAGAAGAAGATTCTCTTCTCAATCGTGTCTTCCTAGAGTGCGAACTGATGTCCGTTGAGATAGTCTGATGCGAAGAGTGATGATAAGAATGATGAGAAGAACTCTGCGAAGAGCTATGTGAAGAGCTTGGCGAAGAAACAGTTCGATCGCCAGATTTTCTGCGATGCCTCTGCTCTTCTGAGTCCTCTGGACTCGCTGACCTTCGCGTATGATGAAGATGAGATTCCCGATGCGATGCGTTTGACGCATGCGATCTGTATCGCGACTGTGAACAGTGACGTGTAGTTCGCGATTGCAAGCCCTGAGATTGTGAAGTAGTTCGCGACTCCGACTGCGAACCTGTGAGCGATTGCGACGAGCGATGATTATGGTGCGAGGTACTGTGCAACCTATGCGAAGAGTGCGAACTGCTCTTCCATATATTCTGGACTCTCTTGTCCAAGTTGGTGATTGTCGCCTGAATTTCCTCCAAAATCTCCGTCGTTTTCTTATGTTTTCTCTCCAGCTCGTGCAATCTAAAATCCATTTGCGCACAGTGATGAACGCGCTCTGATACCAATGTTAGGAACTCACAGTTCACAGCAATCAATCACAGAAAATATGAACAACTTGCAGAAGAAACAGAATTCTCATTCACAATGGTAAACCGTGTACAGATTGTCCCAAGAAGGAGATAAAACTCCAACTCCCAGTCCCAAGACAAATTGTCTAAAAAACAGCCTCCCTGACTTTTCCCAGCTTATTCTATTTATACTACTCTAGCTATTACTCTTCTTATTTACTCTCATTCTACCGGGTCCCTAAAAGGTTGCACAATGTGACATGGAACTTTGAGTCTCTTATGGGAAGGTCATATGGGATAGTTGAGGTTTTAAGGCAGAGGAGGATTAACATTATGTGTGCGGAAGAAACTAAGGAGGCGTTTACTTCGCTGCTAAAGTCACAGTTAGGTTAGTAAGACAGGTGAAGTAAACACACAAGTTGATTAAAACGCTGCTTACTAACCGAAAGAAGTGCTTAAAGTGCCGCTTAATAAGCATACCACCCCTCATGTATTAATTAAGCGACACTTTAAGCTTTTTCAGTTTCCGAATTTACCCTTACCTTTACCCCTTGCCCTTACCCTGTTGCTACCCCACTACCCCGCCCTACCCTACCTTACCCCGACCCTACCCTCCACCACTTGCCCTACCCCACGCCAACCCTCACCCCTTACCCTACCCCTTTACCCCCTACCCCGACCCTGACCCCACCCCTACCCCTTTACACCTTACCCCACCCCCACTCTCTACCCCACTTGTACCCCTTACCTCGACCCTACCCTTTTACCCCTATCCCATGCCCCTACCTCGACCCCCACCCTCACCCCTTACCCTACCCCTTTATCCCTACCACCTTCCCCTACCTTGACCCGACCCCACCCTACCCCAACCCACCCTTCCCTACCCCGACCCTACCCCCTACCCCCACTTGCATCCCTTACCTCGACCCTACCCTTTTACTCCTACCACCTGCCCCTACCTCGACCCCACCTTGACCCCACCCCGACCCCGACCCCATCCACTCCCAATTACCCATACCCCGACCCCAACCCCTTTACCCCATATCACCTGCCCCTACCTCGACCCAACCCCTACGAGTAGGGTGGGGGGTTGGTATGGGTGGGAGTAGGGGTGGAGGTCATGGTAAGGGTAGGGGTAGGGAAAGGGTGGGGGTCAAGGGTGTGGAATTGGGGGTAGGGTGAGGGGTGGGGGTCAAGGGTGTGGAATTGGGGGTAGGGTGAGGGGTGGGGGTACAGGGCAGGGTAGGGGTTAGGGGTCTGGGTAAGCGACTAAGCGTACGAGGTGACCCCACATATTATATTATATACTTGTGTTCATGAATGTTTCTGTGTGTATATATGTATAGGGTTATTTTGGACATTTTAATGTTAAATGGTGTTTTAAATCCTTTGTAGTAAACATGAGCTTACAACACTGCTTATTTTATGCGCCGCTTATTAACGCGAGTCTTAATAAGCACCGTTACTAACCCGTGAAGTAAACGTGTCCTAAGTGGGTTGGAGAGAAGGTTATAAGTTGTGGTATTTGGGAAAAGATAGGAATAGATTTGCGGTACTCATTATCGTCGTGTGTGAGTTTATTGGGAATGTTATGGAAGTAATTAGAAAGAACAGCTCTACTGTGAACATAAAATTGGTGATAGTAGAGTGGAGTTGGATGCATCACAATTATGGAAAGAGTGCGATAAGTGCATAGGGAAGAGAAGCCCTCCATATGTCGCAACCTCAATGGAGTCCCTATATCCTACATCCGGGTGTACGTACACCCGACCCAATTAAAAAAGACAGCCCATTTAACTAATACAACCTAATTTTTTTCGGTGACATTTTTGTAATTTAAGCGAAAAATCACGGCTTTCGCTAAATGAGCATTAATGTACTTTTAGTGAGTATCTGACCTATTCTATTGAGTATTAGGAGGCTAACAATGAACATCACGATCTCTGCTTCATACCTTCTAATTCAATTTTTTTCTTTTATTAAAACTTATTAAATTATATCTATAATACACTCATATGAATTTCAATATGTGAATTTAATGTAATACTCCCTCCGTCCCATTGGACTTTGCCAACTTTCTCTTTTTGGTTGTCCCAAAAAACTTTGTCACTTTCCTATTAAAACAACTAATTTGTGGTTCTGCACATTTCTCTCTCCTCTGCACAAATCTCAACTACACAGTTTTTCTTTTCTTATTTCTCACCTACTTTCCACTTGACAAAGTCCATCGGGACGGAGGGAATATATGATATTTTTGAAATATGCATTGATATGACATTTTCAAATGACCATAACATTAGTAGCAAATGAGCATACGTAACTTACAAAATATTCGTTGATACGAAAATCGTAACGTTTTTTAGGTTAACATAACGACATTTTCATTGAGCATCAAACATCTTCTATTGAGATGAAAACCACGGTTTTTGTGAAATGAACATTAATGAACTTTTAATGAACATCAGACTTATACAAATGAGCATATATAACTTACAAGATGAGCATTGATATGAAAATTGTAAGTTTTGTTCGTTGAGCATCAATACATTTTCAGTAAGCATCAAACCTCCGTTATTGAGTATTAATTAGAATCTATGATTGAGTATCATGATTTGTGGTCTCGTGTCTATTATCAACGCCTATGTGAATCTAATGTAATATGAGATTTTTGAAATATGCGTTGATATAACATTTTAAAATGAGCATAACAGAGGTACTAAATTAACATACATAACTTGCAAAATGAGTATCCGAAAATTCAAAAGCTCATTTGTGTACGTTTATTCTTTTTAGGCGTTTTACTCATTTGAGTTTAAAATAAAGCTCATTTCTAATGTGCTCAGTATTAAAAAGGGAAAAGGAGAAAGTTGCAGGCTCTGAAAAGCGCCACAATTGCGGAGGATATTTTTAGCAAGAGAAGAAAATGCATTTTTGGAGCTTCGATGTGTGGCGTAGCATAGGAAATCGAGTTATACAGAGCTCTGATGTGTGGTGTAGCAAAGGGAATCGAGTTATCCAGAGCTTAGAGCAGCTGTAGAGTCCAGCTCCGCTGGTTCGCCTTCTCCCCCTACCATCTCCGGCGATTGTATGCGGATGATTAAGCGAGGAAGATGATCGGAAATTCAGAGATTAGGGATGAGAGAATCAAAGCCTTAAAGTTGGTATATATTACAAAAATACCGGGTGTACCTGTACACCCGGGTGTACCTTATAATTTGCGGCCTCAATGTGCACACGTGCTCGAGCCATGATAGCTTTTAGATGCAAGTGGTCTGGTGAGTGCCAAGGGAAGAGAAGCTCATATTAGGTGGCGATCTCAATGGGTACGTAGGCTCGAGTCGTGATAGTATTTGAGAGTTTCCATGACGGACATGGCTTTGACACTATAAATGAAGTAGGAATGAACATTTTGAATGACTTTCCAGAGGGTGAAGTGGAGAGACAACATACGTGTAAATTAATGATCTTATATTCTTGTCTTCCTCTTTTCTATCTAAGGTTAATCATATGTTGAATTCATGTTAGCCGGCCCCAAATTCTTTTTGGGGACAAGATTTGAATGTTGTTGCTGTAAGTAATCTGTAACATTCAAAGTGTTCAACTGTCTTATCAGTTATCAAACAAATTAGATTAGTTTCTTGTTCCACTCCAACCAAATAATAAAAGCACACTGCAATGTGTTGTAATACAAGAACTGTCATGTTATTTATATAGTTTCCTTAATCCCTACTTCTTTTTGGTTCTGCACTACGTTCAAAGAATCTCTTATATAACAGTGTGATTGTTATTTACAGTTATTTGGTCTTGGTGTGGCCAACATTTGTGGCTCATTCTTCTTATCATACCCTACAACAGGTGAGATTTCTCTGTGAAATTCCCATACTTCAGAATTTTTATAATGACAAGGAATATTTATAATGCTTGATGACTTATTGTAGTTTACTTCACCATTCTATTTCTGAAGGAAGTTTTTTTTATTTTTTTATTTTCTTAAGGCTCTTTTTCCAGGTCTGCTGTCAATCATGAAAGTGGAGCAAAAACAGGCTTATCTGGGTTCGTGATGGGAATTATCATGTGCTGTGCTCTTTTATTTTTGACCCCATTATTTGAATATGTACCTCAGGTTGTGGGTTCTTGTCTGATCTGTTTCACAATTTAAATCCAATTATTCATAATTAGTGTTTGTTTACATAAATATCTCAATATAAAGTTTTGAGAGCATTTTATGACCCATGTGTGTATCTCCCTTTTCAAGGTTTGCTGTCTGTTTGAACAGCTTTACTATTATCTTCCTAAAATTTCACATAAACAGAATATATAAAATGATCAGTTGCTAATTGCAGCTTTTAACTTTTAATCTTTATTCTGCTGCAGTGTAATCTGGCTGCTATTGTGATCTCTGCTGTGATTGGGCTGGTAGGTATATAGCTCACTGTAAGATAGAGTTATTTTCTATTTACACTGTGACTATTAGCTATTTGGATGGTATTGAGTTTCTGTGCCCAAGGTAGTTAATATTTTAATTTAGCTGTTGATAATAGTTGCAAAAATACTCCACCATCTTCAATGGAACCAAAGACTCATTATTTTTTGGCTTGGGAATATGATGAAATAAAGCAAAATGGCTCACTAAATTGTCTGCGCTTCTTTGTTATGAAGCAGTAGTCAGTCCATGCAATTTCGACACGATTTTCATGACGAGTCATCCGAAAATAGTCTCTCTGTGCTTTAGTACAGGAGCAAGGCTGCGTACATCCGACCCCCCTTACCCCACCGTAGGTGGGAGCCTTTGCGGCACTGGGGTAATGTTGTTGTTGTATAATAGTTGCAAAAATATGGCTATGCAAGGTGACTTGTATTTTTTTGTGCATTTTCTTTAATTTAATCAATTGAACTAGGAACGATGATTCAGTCTTGATTTGAATTGTCATAAACCATGAGTTAATATGACGTAGTGCTGAGTCACTTGGTGTTTTGGGTTATGTATTTGTGCTGGTATCTTATTTTTTTTTACTTTCATTTGTTTTTGAATACATCACAGAAAAATGTCTGGTGTTTCAAAAACTGGTGTGCTATTATGCTAAGTAATATTTTGTGTAGACTCCTTTAGATTTAGTTAAGATAGCATTCTACGATTTCTCTGGTTTTCTAGGTATTACATTCTTAGCAGTGATGAAGGAATCTCCTGCATTTTCTCCTTATCATAAGCTCATAGTACTGTCATACTGTGAACCAATTTTGCATGGTGTGGTGTCCATATTGCACTATCCCATTCTGGCTATTATTTTGAATCCAGGTGGATTACGATGAAGCTATATTTTTATGGCGTGTTGACAAGAAAGATTTTCTCCTGTGGATAATCACATGTGCTACAACTTTATTGCTTGGTATAGAGATTGGCGTTCTTATTGGGGTTAGTGGATACATATATATTTTCCTTAAAGTTTCAATTAGATTGTTAAAATTATGGTTCAAGTTAATAAAACTTTTAATTATGGATTGTTATTGCTACCCACCTCTTAGGACATATAGACCAATAATACAGAACTGGAGACTTAGACTAAATAATATTCACAACCCATATGATAATTTATCAGATAGGTGATTGGGTTTATCTTGGGTTCCAAATTTATTTAGTGATGGACAGGAGCCAAATATCGGATATCCACCCATCTACTATTTCAAATATATCACTTTAAACATATACTCCAAGAAGTACGGAGTATCATATAAGCCCTCTTTGAAAGAAACCCTTAATCTATATTTTACAACTTGATTTAATAATTTGAACTTTGAAGTAATTGTCTAAAATTATTTCAAAGTCAAAACTATATTTTACCACTGTCCTTGTTATATCATCCCCTCAGAAAAAACGGCATTTTAGGAAGTCAAAGAAAAAGTTTATATTTAAGAACAAATTTATGCAAAATACACAGTGACAAGTTTTATGTCAGATATCTTATCACATATTAAATATCACAACGGTGATACATTTAGATAATGGGTATAATCATGCCCAACTAGAAGATTGATATTGTAGGATTAACATGCCAATGAGCACATCACACAGCACATGCATATAAATAGAGAGAACAGTTTTCTTTTTCTTTTTACTCTTAGTGTACCCAAAAAATATGCTTCCCTTTTCCAGCCACTTTTCGCTTTTGGACACCGAATAGTAAGTACTAAGAACTACTCAACTACTGATCCTCACACACACACAAAAAAGCGTTGCTTGTAGTTGGATAGAATGACATGTCATAAAGACATTAAGATTGGTTACAGACCCCTTTTATTCTTTCATGGTGATTGGTGAATAAAGTTTCATATTGGTTGGTGCAGGTTGGTGTTTCACTTGCTTTTGTGATTCACGAGTCAGCAAATCCACATATAGGTAAGCCCGCTCGTCTAAGGAGATTAAAATAACTTTTTCAACATATTGACTCTAATCTTCCAACTAATTCTCAAGATTGATATTCACTCATTGTAATTTCACAAGTTACTCAGCATTTCAGTATGATTTCTTTTAAAGATATTATTACTACTTGCCTTCAGTCTTGATTAGTCACTCCATTTCCCTTGCTCTCGAATGCCTTCTGGCCTCAAAAACTCAATTTCTTTTTATGTTCTTGTGTGTTTGTGTGTGTTTGTAATGTGTTAATCTGTAGATGTACCTAGTTTGATGGGCTAATGGTTTTTGATGTCTTAAAGTTTTAGTTGTGCATAAATAGACTACTAATTCTTCATGTATGGTCATGTCTTGTAGCTGTCCTAGGCCGGCTTCCTGGAACCACTGTTTACAGGAACGTTCAGCAGTACCCTGAAGCATACACATATAATGGGATCGTGGTCGTTCGAGTCGATGCACCTATTTACTTTGCCAATATTAGTTACATCAAGGACAGGTGAATACATGCCTTGTCATTGTCATACACCAAACCATATTTGATGTGCCAATTCTAAAAAAAAATGCTTTGAAGGTCAGTTTTGTCGTTTCTCATTCCATTATTCCATTATTATCAGGTTACAGGAATATGAAATCGCAAAAAGTGGATCCTCACGCCATGGGCCAGAAGTATCAAGGGTTCACTTTGTGATTGTTGAGATGGCCCGTAAGTTCTTTAAGGCCTGTTTGGGTGGAGAGTTTTATAAGGGAAGAGTTTGGATGGCTTAGTCTTTACATCAATATAGTCTGTACATGAATTGAAATGTTAAGTAATAGTATAATTAGTTAAATATTATAAGAATTTTTAAACGTAGTCTATATCTTGATAAATAGACTTTCTAAAAAAGTATAAATGATAGTTGGAACGGCCTGAAGAGGTAGACTACTAGACTTAACCCTTCAAAACGCTCACCTCTAATCCCCTCTCCCTTTCAAGCTGACCCACTTGGTAAACTGAGTTGCAGCAGATCTTGTGCCCTTTCCTCTTTGTGGACTGTTGTTGCTAATGCACGTTTCTACCATCTATTTCAGCTGTTACATATATTGATGCTAGTGCTGTTCAAGCTTTGAAAGACCTCCATCAAGAATACAAGTCAAGGCACATTCAGGTAAGAATATATCTTTAATGATTGTTGGTTACACATTTCTTATTTATATTATTATCCCAACACATCTTGACCTCATCTCCAATGGAGCCAAAGACTCACTATTTGTTGGCTTGAAAATATAATGGAATAAAGCAAAATGGCTCACTAAACTGTCTGCGTTTCTTTGTTATGAAGCAGTAGTTAGTCCATGCAATTTTCGACACGATTTTTAATATGGCCTTATGGATCATCCGGAAACAATCAATCTCTCTGTGCTTAAGTACAGGGGTAAGATTGCATACATCTGCCTCCCTTACCCCACCGTAGCAGCACTGGGATAATGTTGTTGTTGTTATACACCTCCTGCCCTCAATTTTTTGTTCAAGCTTTATTAGCCCCTCCAGTCCTTGTTTTAAGGCAAAATAGACCAAATTATACTGTAATTCACATCTCGAATTCAAAACCTCTTGTGAACTATACTTGCAGCTAGCCATCTCCAATCCAAACCAAGAAGTTCTGCTGACTCTAGCTAAATCTGGCGTGGTTGATCTGATCGGCAAGGAGTGGTACTTTGTCAGAGTCCATGATGCTGTCCAAGTTTGTCTCCGGCATGTGCAGAGCTTAAACGAATTCCCTAAAACTCAAGAAGTGTCACCATCGGAGGACACCCCAGGTGCATTCCAAAGACTGCTGAAGCATAGACAGGATGAATTCTCAATCCCCGAGCTTGAGTCAGGCGATCGACATCCTTTTGAGTACGGTTATAGAGACCCTAAACTGGAGCCACTGCTTTCTAAAAAATAAACTGGCACTCCTTGGTTTTTAAGTACATAGTTTGTACCATTTAATGGTCGTTCTAAGCTATTTCTAGATTTGTTTTCAATGATCAAAATATGATGCAATTTATTGTGTACCAAATGATGCATGTTCATAGGCTATTAGCACTCATGTCCGATCTAGCACATAAATTGCCTAAAGGTCTATTCCTTGGTTGATTATAGACTTAAAGTGCACTTTTCAATCTCCATGAATTAATATTGCATTCATCTGATCATCTCTTTGTGTTCCTAAACTTTGAGTCATTTCGGCTACCAGTAATCTATCAAAGATATATGCACATTTCCTTTGTGTAATGGTTCAACAATGAGGCTTTTCATTATTGTAACTTATTTGCTAACAATATAACTCATCAAACATAATACAAACAAGTATAGCTAGTATGGATTTTTCCCCTCCCTAGTTTCTTAGGGTTGCTGCAGTGGTGGCACTCTTAGATGACCGCCTTTGATTTTTCTTCTAGTGTTTAGTTTTTTAACTCTGGATTTTTTTCTTGCTATCATGGTTTGACATTTTGTTCCTAGGTTGGGTTTGGTTAATTATTCATGGTTGTGCCTTCCCATGACTTTTGTTTTGCCTGTGATTTTCCTGTCTGACTTGATCTTAAGACCAGAAAATGCAATGATTTTTATGGTGATGTCTTATTTTCGGGTATACTGTATTCTTTGATGGCGATTAAGGGAGATGATAATTTTGATTTGCTGGTTGATAATTTTGTGATGATTAATTAGAATACTATAGTTTGGTAGTAGGAAGTGGTTTTGTGACTTTGTCCAAATGGCCTCAAGTTTACAGCTTCATGAACATGACCTTGCAAAAGGGATAGTATATGCAAATTCAACTTTCAAGGGTTTTGTGATATTTTGAGGGCGGTCTTTTACAAGAGGTTTTACTAGATAAGATTGATTTGTACATGTAGAATCACAATTTCCATGTAATTGTATGATAGATAAACAGTTCTTATAATAGAAATTATGATAGAAATTAGCATTGAACCCACCCGCCACTTTATGGAAGAAACAACTGAAGATGGAGGAAATTCTGATTGATTCTTATTTGTAAAAAAGTGTATTTCATGTTGTAATTTTTGCTCAATTTCCAATTGTACTACATATTTCAAATTAATACAGTTTAAATTTTTATGTCCAACTAATCTGAATTAAAAAAATAAAAATAAATAGCCCGGGCCCGACCCGGCCCGACCCGGCCTACAACCCGACCGGGTAGGCCCGACCCGGACCGGACCTGGTATCATCCCGGGCCGGTTCCGGGCCCATGATTCTACAAAAAAAAAAAGCCTGCCCGGCCCTGGCCCGGAACCGGACCGGCTCGGGTCCATCCCTACACGTGCTGCCCCACAATTTAGTTAGAAGATGTCTGCTTAATGAGAATTTGGGTGATGTTTCAATCCACTTGCTAATATAGTTTGAGAATTGAGATGATCCCAAATTTTCACGTCTCATTAATGGAATCACGAGTCATTCGAACTGGATTTACTCGTCAGTGATTGCAAATGGGCCTTGGTTAGGAACTTAGGATACCCTATTGGACTCATACCCTTTGTTAGGCCTTGGTACCAACCTTACTCACAAGGAGTAGTTAAACAAGACAATTGTTGAAGAAAAATAGTCATTATAAATGTACAATGACCAGTTGGTTTTGTGGCTAATACATATTGATAAATTCATATTACCTACTAATAATCTATACTTTAAGCGTTTCTATAATAATAATCCCTACCGAAGACACTAACAAAAGGCTAAATTCGTGGGGTGGCCCCCACTTATGTGGGAGGTCATCCTTGTTGGTGATTTTAGTGTCACCGGCCGTTTTGTGTAATTGGAAATGACATGAGTGCCAATGGGAATTAAAACTGTGTTCTAATACAAGCTAGGAGGTGTGGAGTGTCAACATGTCCTAAGCTCCATTCCTCTACATACTCTTGCTACTGATACTTTACCTAGAAAAGTAATCAGAATTCTTGAATCCAAAATGGCTGACTTTTTCTGGGGTTCTTCAAATAATAAGAAAAAATATCATTGGAAAAAATGGTATCACTTATGTGCTCCTACTGATGAGGGGGGTCTGGGGATTAGATCATTAACAGATTTGGAAAAATCTTTTACACTCAAGCTTTGGTGGAAGTGGAAAACTGGAAATTCCCTTTGGAATACATTCATAAAAGCTAGATATCCAAGGGAAGCTAACTACATACCTAAAATCACTGACTCCGCAGTTTGGAAGAGGCTATGTGCCATCAATGATGAAGCTTGCTCTCTTTGCTCACTTGATCCCACTGGAGATTGGATCTGGTCCTTGGAAGACACTGGGGACTTTAGTATAAAATCTGCCTACAATGCAATCAGAGAAGAAAATGTCAGCACTTTTACTCACAAACATATCTGGAATGCCAATCAGCAAAAGAAGATCAGCTTATTTCAGTGGAAGTTGTTAAACAATTTGCTGCCTGTGACAGATAATCTGAAAAGATTCAAAATAGTGCTTAATCCTTCGAGGTGTCCTTTATGCAAAGAACAGGATGATAATGTTGATCATCTGTTTTTTCAGTGCAAGATATCCTATCCGATTTGGGTTTATTTTATGGGAATCTTTAGCATTCCAGCTCCCTCTAAGTATAGCACTATTAGACAGGTGATGGTTTCTTGGTGGTTAAAAGCAGGTAGCAAGAAATTAGAAGACATTTTTAAACATAATCTACCGGGGATAATTGGGTGGAACATCTGGAAAGTGTACACGAATATTACTCGGGGCAGTGGTGATTATTCTATATCATCGGATAATATTATTAATCAGATCAAACATTTTACTCAGCAATGGATCTACGCTAGGAGGTGTGGAGTGCACACTTGTATATAAGAACGAGTTCTATTCCAAAGTGTCTACGACAGTGGAACTCGAGGTAGAACACTCAGTAGATCAACTCTGTGGTTCTAGATCGAGGTCTAGAGCGGTTGGGCAGTTTCGTGCAGTTTTTCAAAAACTGTCACGGTTATTCTCAAACGTGTTGTAACTGTCTGGGATGTGTAATATGGATATATATCACCATATTCGTACAGAGAAGTAAGAGGGAAGATATACAACATATCTGTATCACTTTTGGCATTCAAATTAAGATAGCAATCCATATACTCACTAGTTTGGCTCTAGTTCTTGTGCCTAACTTCTAGAGTGTCCATAAGGATTATCCTAGATTGAATTTTTTGTTAACCCAGACATAGGGGAGAAATATCAATTCGGAAAGTGAACTTACACGATCCTTAAGCAATCCAAGTACTCGATTATCACCCCCTATACACACGAACCCCAACATTCGAATTGATATTCCTTTGTGATAATCATGAGTACCGTGCAAGAGATGACAACCAAGTTCAAAAAGTTGGACAAGTTTCAAGGGAATGATTTTCGTAGATGGCCAAAGAAGATGCACTTCCTTCTCACCACTTTGAAGGTTGTGTACGTGTTGAGCATTCCGATGTCAGAAGTGATGGAAGATGAAACCTTGGAACAAACTAGGAGGCGCAACAAGTGGTAGAACGATGACTACATATGTAGATGCCACATTCTTAACGGTATGTCCGTTGCGTTATTTGATATTTACCAAAACGTTGAGAGTGCGAAGGAATTGTGGAATTCTCTTGAGTCAAAATACATCGCCGAAGATGCTTCTTAGTAAGAAGTTCTTGGTGAGTGATTTTAATAATTATAAAATGGTTGAATCAAGGCCGGTTATGGAACAATACAATGAACTCCTTCACGTTGTTGGTCAATTTAAACTCCACAAGATAGGTATTGATGAATCCTATGTCGTGTCAAGTATAATTGACAAACTTCCACCCTATTGGAAGGATTTTAAACGTAATTTAAAACATCAAGATGAGGAATTGTCATTGGTTCAACTTGGGAGTCACTTGCACATTGAGGAGTCTCTTCGTGCGCAAGAGAATGACCAAATTATGGGTGAAGTTGAATCTGGACAGCCTCATGTTCACTTAGTTGAGGGAAAAAAATCTAACCCAAACAATAAGGGGAAAGGCAAAAAACGCAAATGTGAAGACCATGACAAAACCAACAAGAAACAGAAAGGTTTGGTTTGTTGGAGATGTCAAAAGGTTGGGCATGCCAACCATGATTGCCGTGTGAAACTGAACAAGAATGGCGCTGGAACGAGTGGGAGTGGACAAGAACGGTCTAAGGACCAGGTTCCACAGAAAGTAGGTCAGTTCTTGACTAACTTTGATAATTCTGTCCAAAATTATGTATCACTCATTCCGGAATCTTTTTATGTACAGGATGATGATTGCGCATGGTGGATTGACTCGGGGGCTACGAGCCATGTGTGTAAGGATAAAGGATGGTTTGAAGACCTAGAACTAGTAGAGGTCGGTTCCTTCTTACACATGGGAGACGAGTCAATGGCGCTGATGGATAAGTGTACCCGGGGGTATCTATCTGAGGGGTTACTGCGGGGAGTAACTAGAGAGAAGTCAGAGCAAAAGTAGAGAGAGAGTGTATATTGATAATGAGCGTATTCAGCGTGGTTTACAAATGGGGAAAGGGGTGCTATTTATAGTAGCAATAAATGCTAGATAGGGACACGTGTCAACAATCTGATGGTCGAGGGGTCACCTCAACTGGGGCGGCACCGACACTCGCATGTGGTCGCATTAAATGCGGTGGTTGGATGTGACGTTTGTACTTGGTACATTGATCCAGCGCATGTGGATGAGAGATTCTGTCGAGGAAGGTGCCTTCGGCTGTATATGATTAGCCGAGGGCTCTTCAACACGAGGGCCTCTGTGTGCCGAGGGCTCCAGGTACCGAGGGCTACTGTTTTCGCCGTTTTCTCCCAGTAGCTTCGTTTGCCTAAAACAGCTGTTCTGCGAGTTTATAAGCCTTCGGCCATGGGGCCGAAGGCACCCAAGTGTACGTCGTGGGCTGCTTGGCACTTGGGGCGCTGTGATTTGGGCCTGCTGTGCTTCCTGGGCTCATTGGGCCTGTATTAGAATAGTGGGAGTCTATGGACCGGGGGTTCTTGGGCCATATACTCCATCAGGAGTCCCTCACTCCTTTTGCCGAAAGGTACTCGAGGGAAAAGGAGTAAAATGCATTTGTCCTCTGATGCTGGCGTTTTGCTCTGTGATTTGTGGAGTTTGTGAGGAGTTGTTGTTTGCACGTTTTGCCGAAGGCAGTCCCTCAATCCCCCACATTTTGATAATTTGCTTTTTTGAGATTTTCCCGAAGGGGTCTT